CTGTGGGTGCAGCAAGGGCAGCTGAAGTCACTTGGGAAAGATGTGAGAAAACAGACACGTGGGCAGATGGGCATGGTCAGCTCCTGACCTCTGCTTCACTTCTGCTGGGTTGTTACCTGGTTTTCTTTCACTGCCCTTCCCACCATGTCCCACCTTCCTGGGCACTCTGCTTTGGGTTGTAGGCAGGAGGTGTGCGGAGGCAGATCCATAATTCCTGGCCTTGGAGGTAATAGAGGGCAGCCTGTGTGAGCCTGGGGCATTCTGCAATCTGGGGAGGTTTCAGCTCTTGATAAGTCCCTGAAAGAAACTCCTGGATGCTCAAGGGCTGTGCTTTCACAACCAAAGAGAGAGTTGCAACCTCCATCCGGAGGAGTAGCCCTTTCACCAGGTGATATCCATCTTGGAGAGAGGGAGAAAGAGGAGAGGGTAGGTGGTGAGTAGGAAAAGAGATATCACTGCAGGTGGCTGTTGAGTAGTTCTATGATACAGCGAGCAGAAGACACCCAAGGAATTGTCCTGACATGAGCTGCCCTGAATTGCCCCAAAGAGTTCACACCGAGCACTGTTTTCCTTTACAGCAGGTTGGATCCTTTACACTGAGGATTTCCCAAGCCAGGAGCTCTCCAGGCAGAGAGCTGTGTCTCACTGGTAAAACCCCTGCCAAGGAGATCCCTCAGTGACGTTGGCTTGTGACGTTTGTCAGCAGAGCAGGTGGAAGGAGCCCTAAGGCCCACAGGCTGTTCCAGGGTGGCTCCTCTGGGCAGAGGTCAGCATCACCAAGGTGACTCAAAGCACTTTGGAGATGGAGTTTTTAGAGATATCAAAGGAAGGAGCAAAACTGACTCTAGTGCTGTCTGAACTGCTCATCTTCCAGGTGTATTTCCAGGCCTACGTCCACCTGAGCTCATGCTGCCAGCCTTAGCCAAGCTCACACTGACTTCTTTTGGAGTCGCCTTTTGGAGTTGCCAAAGGTTTGGCTCCTGTTATCTGCTGAACTTAAGTTTTCTTTCAGCTTCTCAGCCCCATGGGTGGAGGTGCAGAAAGAGGATGGGATGCTGAGATGGCCCTGGAGCTCCAGGCTCAAGCATCCAGTTGCTCGAGTCCTGGGAGGTTCATGCGTCACTGCTGCTGAAATCCCCAGCCAGGAGGGCTGGGAGAGGCAGGGATCATCCTAAACAAAAACAAGGCGCCGGCTGGGCTGCCAGCATTGCAAAAGGACGTTTCACCTGCTTTGTCCTTCTTGGTGGCACAGGCAGGGAGAACCTCAGTGCAGGGGGGGCTCAAGCTGCTGGGGCTGGGGACAAGCACCTCACCGGGCTCAGGGACCACAGATCCACACCAGTGACAACACCACAGTCTCAGTGCAATGGCATCACTCCTAATCCCCATGTCACGCCTTGGTGCTGACACCAGAGAGCTGGCTGGGCTGCAGTGCCCCTCTGGATGCTGGCCTGGGGAGGAGCACACGGGTGTGGGGTGACGGTGCCCCACATGAGGTGCAGCACCTTGGCAGGATGCACACACAGGCACAGGGAGAGGGGACAACAGTGAGGGGATGCAGCGGGGACACCTGAGCTGCACCTGCTCCGCGTCCTTGCCACGGATGTGGCAGCAGAGCCGGGGCACGCAGGGGAGCTGTGGCAGTCGTGTCCCCGGGCCAGGCAGGGAGCCTGGATTCCGCAGCATCGGCCCTGCTGGCAGGGCAGCGGGCAGGGGCACGGCGCTCGGGGCGCTGCGGGCGCGGAGCGGGGCCGCGGGCCCGGCTGATTCACACGGGCCGGGCCGGGCTGCCGTGGGAAAGCGCGCCCGCCATGGCTCCCGAGCGCCGGATTGCTTCAGCGGGGGTGCAGCCAAGATCCATTTCACAGAGGGCAGAGCAGATCTCGGCTGGGATTTACCAGTGACTAAGCATGTGCTGGCACGGGCTGCCCCAGCGTGAGAACGGCAGGCTGCTCCTCCTCCGAGGAGTGCCCGCTGTGCCCTGCCCCCGCTGCCCCGCGGCGCCGGGCACCCGGCTCTGCGCAGCGACCGCGCTGGGAGCTGCACCCCCAGGCCCCTCCGCCCGAGCGGGACTCTGCCCTTTCCTCACCCCTGAGGCCGGGCAGGACGCGAGCAGAGGCCCTGCAGTCAGCCCGCCCGGCACATCAGCCCCCAGGCAGGACTGGGGCGTGGGCAGAAGCTGCCACCCCCACCCGAGCCTGGCACGGGGGCTGGGGGGACCCCGGGATGTTACAGAGATGCCAAACCCTTCTCTGTCGGGTCATGGCTGCTGCTCACAGCAGTTGCACCACAGGCAGTGTTCCAAGGTGCCACCATCTCCTGCTGATTTATCTCATGAAGATTTTTGGGGCCACAACTAATCCTGCCATGATGGGTGTGTAGAAACCAAACTTTTCTGAGAAGAAAAAATCATCCCTTCTCCAGCAGAGAGGCTCCCCACTTCCCTACCCTATACACAAAAAACTGTTCCACATCCCCAGGAGCCAAGCATCAAGCCTGAGGCCACCACTGGCCCCTGCAAAGCAGCCGTGCAGCCCAGCCTGTGGAAGTGGCAGCCTTCCCCACTCACTTCATCTCTTTTGGCTCATTTTGGCAAGGCATTAAAAAAAAATAATTGCAATTTTTTATTACAGCTAATTGGCGCTGCTGCTTAAGTGGCTTATCTGGCTCCTGAGCTCGTACTCTGTTTTTGGGAAGCTGAAAGTGGTGAAGGCCCAGAGGCTATGGGGTGGCATAGGGCAAAGAGCCTCTTGGCAGCACCCAGCAGCCTCAGAGAGTGTGGAATGCCAGGATACCCCTGTGCTGCTGGGCATTCCTGGCCCAGGGGGTGAACTGCCCCTAATTCACAGCAGTCATGAATTTTAGAGAAGCAGAGAAATTCGTGCAAGATCGCTCTGTGCACCCAAGCGGGACAAGAAGCCTGTGCCCAGCATGCTTGCACTGCTGCTCGAGAACCTGGTGGGCTCCCAGCTGCCAGGGTTGGGCATCCTGGGGGAATTTGGTGTGTGGCAGAGGGCAGAGGAGCCCCTGCATGTCCATGCCACCAGGGAGGACAGGGGAGGAGGGTGTCCTTGGGCCCTGCTGTGCCCTCCTGGCTGGCAGTTCAATGGACAGCTGGTCTGGGAGCTTCCTGGAAACTTCTGACTCTCCAGTGCTTGCCCCCATACCCAAGAGGTAGCATCCCCCGCCCCTCCAGCGCCACGTCCCTCTCCAGCATGCAGCCCAGTGTCACCATCATGGGGAGTGGGACCAGCACATGTCCCCGTCCCTTCTGCCTCCCTTCTGCCCGCCTGCTGCAATCCCACAGATCCCTGTGAGGGTGTGGGGGCCTGTTGAGGGTGGCATCTCAGCTCTAGGTCCAGCCTGTGCAAGCTGGGATGTCCTCAGGCCTCAAAGGGACCATCCAATGTCTGGTCAGGCTCTGCAGAAATTCGGGTTCCCACAAATCACAGCATCATTCTGCTTCCCTGGGCTTTCACCCAGACGCATTTCCTGGGTCCCTGGGTTTGAGGGTGAGACCAAGGAGGGCTTTGCCCTGCTCAGGGCAGGGGGTCATGCTCAGCCCTCCGTGATATCAATGCTCTCATCTTGTCCCCAGCAGGAGCAAGGAGCAGTGCAGGGCTCTGTCCCCAGTTGCTCGACAGGTTGTTCCCTGATGCTGCTGTGCAAGTCAGAGGATTGCTGCAAAATGCCCTTTTAAAAGTGATGTAGTGTTTTCCTTGTCATTTGGGTGCTTCCAAGATCACCCCTTGTCCATCTCTGTCTGTCTGACCATGCTGGAGCAGTGGGGCCTCAGGGAACTAAGCCCAGGTGTCTTTCTGGCCAAAAGGTTGGGGATGTGTGCTGGGATGGGGATAGATGGGGAGTGTGTGCTGGTTTTGTGGACGCTGCCAGTGGGAATCACCTCGTGCTGCAAGGCAGAGCCAAGACACGGTGGCAAGCTCATTTCCAAACAAATCACCCTGCCCCGTTCCTCCTGCAGGCAGCTGTGTGGGAGCAGGGCCACCACTGCCCTGTGCCATGAACCCAGCTCTGCTCCAGCCCCAAACCAGCAGAGTGCCTGCCAGCCCGCACCAGGGCCTGGCTGGCAGCTGGAAAAACCTTTCTGGTTTCAACAGGCTCTGGAGCAAAGCCCCTGGCAGGGAACTGACCGGTTCTGGTTAGTGAAGTTGCTCACCTCTCTCCCTCCTTGCCTTGGGTGCAGTGTGCAGAAATCAGCCCCTAAAAACAAACAGCTGACAAAAGGTGTTGTGGCACATCCCAACAAGCAGCTCCCGGCCCAGGAGGGAGGGGAGGGGAGAGGAAGGTGTCAGGGAGCCGGCTGCATTGCTCCCAGGGAGCTTTAGTGCTGCTCACTCTGGGCAAGTGTGTTTGGCTGCCAGCTGCACCCTGTGCTTAGCCCCAGGCAGCATCCTGGGTGCTCCTCAGCAGTGGGATTTAAGGAGCTCTTGGGGTCCAGCACCTGGCACATGTGGGCACTCAGAGACCTGTCTGGGTACATTTTGGCAAACAAAAGGTGGGGTAGAAAGTGTAACCCAGTGTTGACAGTGCTGCAGCAGAGCCAAGACAAGCAGAGCCAAATGAGAGCCCAGAGTGTTTTGGGGTGCACAGCCATCATCCCCAGCCTCTGTCAGAAAAGAGAGATCAAATCTTGAAGCCACAGCCAAGGCTTTGCTTGTCTGCTTGATGCTTTAAGGCAGCCTCGTTGCTGGTGTGTTCTGGCTGGGGAGCCAGGGTGGGCAGCAGTGCTGGCAGCCTGGCTGGACACGTGGCTGAGCACACACAGAGGGAGCACCTCTGGAGGGGGTTCTTGGGCTTGTGGCTGGTGCCTGTGCCTGTCCCTGCTCAGTGGGACAGGCCTTGCCCTGGTTTCCCTGCTGTGGTGCATGTGATGGGGGCTGCGCAGCCTGTGCCAGGGATGCCCAGCATGGGTTTGTGTCCTGGGCAGGCAGGGGAGCACGATGGCCATCTCACTGACCTTCCCCTCTCTCTTCTCTCAGGTGTGCAATTGCAACAAGTACCTGAAGGTCTCACGGGAGAGTATGAAGCAGCTGGTGGAGAGCAGCAGACAAGTGTCAGGGGAGCACAGTGCAGGTGAGTGGGTGGGTGATCCTCCCTCCTGTGCCCTTCCCTGGGACTCACTGCCCTGGACAGAGCAGGATCATCCCCCTGGGCCTGGGGGTTTCTCAGAGGGGGATTAGAGTGCCCTGCCATCAACCTGTCACAGAGTGCAGACCCACAGAGCTCTTTCAGGTCCGGTTTATGTCTGCCCTGGCTGCCCTGTCCTGCCCTGCAAGGCACAGGGTCGTGCTTGGGATTGCCCAGCCCAGGGAACTGGTGACATGCCAACAATAGCTCAAGTGACAGCCTGAGGCCTTCATCACCTGAACGTGAAAAACTCAGCTTGGGTGGTGAAATGCCTCCTGGCTGGAGCTGCTCACAGTGCCTTCCTCACCTGCCCAGTGCCTTCCTCACCTGCCCAGTGCCTCTTGAATTAGGTCAGGCTGCAGGGAGGTGAGTCAGTGCCGCCTGCCCAGCCAGGCTCCAGCGGGCTCGGGGGAGAGAAGGCTCCTCCATTCTCCAAGCTGCATTGACCCACACACACTCCTCCCCACAGGGAAACACATTTTGGTGGCAAACGACACCCGTGGCAGGCACACCGGAATGGGGATGTGCCCCTGTTGCTGCTCCAACCCAGCCCTTTGGTGCATCACTTCCCCGTCTGCTGACGGCAGGGAGCACAGGGAAGTGGCGGCTGCTGGGCGCTCCTGGCCGCCTGTGGCTTTGCTGGGAGCTGCACGTGTGGCTCTGGGGATGAGGAACGTGGTGGGGAGGCTTTTCCCATGGTGCTGGCAGCCTGGGAGTGCTGTGCTTCCCCAGAGGCCGGGACATCCTCCCCAGCGGCTTCTCTGGTGAGGGCACTCTCTGCGTGTGTACCCAGCAACCAGACGGGCCAGTTCAGCCAGTTTCAGAGTATGGGAAATAGAAATGCTGTGGTTTGTGTTCAGAGTGAGCCGTTTCCCCTTCCCCCTTCGGGATGAGGTTGATGGAGCTGGGAGGGTCTCACACAGCACCGTGGCTCCCCCGCACAGACTCTTTCAGGGATCACCTTGCTCTACTCTTTGCACTCCATCTGCAACACCCCGTGTCCCCATCGGGCTGTACAGTCTCCTGCTAGGTCCCCCATGTCCTTGGGGGGCTCATGGGGAAGGAGCAGGTGGGACCCCTGCAGTGGCCATGTCACCCATGCCCTTGTCGGGGAGCGTCCTCCAATGGGGAACATCCTCTGCCCCAAAGGGACCATCTCCTGCCCCAAAGGGAGCATCCTCTGCCCCAAAGGGAACATCCTCTGCCCCAGAGCAGGCAGGGGCAGGCACAAAGGTGCCACAGCATCCCCAGAGGGTTGGTGGAGACATGAGACAGAAGCTGTGATTCCCAGACCAGTGGGCACAGCAGGGCTGGAGACTTGCCAGCAGAGTCCCCTGTGACCCAGGGCTCTGGCCCCATCCTGGGGGTTCCATTTCTGTTTGGGTTTTGCTAGGAGCTGCAGGCATTGCAAGCAGAGATTGCAAGTGTGAGCTTGACTAGGTTGCCCCAAAATATCCCACCTTGGGTCAGACATTCAGGAAGACAAGTAGGAAGGGTGTGCTGGCAGTGTTCTGTCAACACTTGGTGGGGACAGTGGTGGCATTGGAACAGGCTGGGTAGCCACAGAAGTGGGTCAATAAGAAAAATCTCACCTGTTCCCTGATTTCCTTTACATTTTCCTGCTGAAGAAGTTGGTGGCAGTATCTGGTCTGCCCTTGCCATGGCCCAGCACATGACATGGGTATGTTCAGCACCCACAGCCCTACACCAGGACTGTCGCCTGTCCATGACTCCAGCCCTGGCCATGTTGTCCCTGTCACTCCCCTGTGCATGCCCAGGTGCTGCTGCTGGGCAAGAAAATGCCTTTTCCCTGCTCCTGCTTCCAGGCAAGGAGGAAACCTCTTCCCACGGGGGCCTCACCTCTCCAGGGAGGAGCTGGTGGGTGCTGGGGCAGAGGGGTGATGGGGACAGATCCTTCAGGACCACCTCTCAACACGAGTCTGTGCTTGGCCCAGGTGCTCCCAAGTCCTGGGGTCCAGCTGCAGCCAGTGCTGCTTCATTTGGTTCCTGGATTTTTATAGCAGGGCTTCGGAGTGATGAAAGGCCAATTATTCATCCTGTAATAGCTCACTCTTACTTGTAGCTAGGACTTTCACAGGTTTTAGGGAACATAATCCTTGACACAGCCACATTTTTTCCTGCATGAGGGTTTTGACAAATACCTCTGCAAATTTTGCTGCAAATAGTTTCAAGCCCCAACAGCTTTGTCCTGTGATTTCCCAGTGGGATGCTCTGAGCAGCTCAGGTGCCTGGAGCAGACAGGGGCAGAGAGGGGAGCAGGGCTCTGGGGTCACCACAGGGCACAGGCAAGTCCTTGCTGGAGGTGGTGACAGATTGTGGCTCCCGAGTGACCCCGGGGAATGGGCTGTGTCACAGGCTCTCGGCTGGTATGGGGAACTCTTGCTTAGTCAGTGCAGTAAAACCAGCTGGCATGGGGCCCCAGAGCTCAGTGGGTGCTCTGCCAGATGAAATCTGGTCTCTGGGAAAGGCGAGGATGTAGCACATTCCATCGGGTTGGGAGCTGCCAAACAGAGGAGGCGAATTTAATTGCAAAATCTCCCCTCACATCTAAAATGTGCTGCAAAAGATGAAAACAATGTATCCTGATGCCCTTGGGTCTGTGGTGCTGAGCGGGCAGGGTGCAGCCGCCACTGCCATGCTGGGTGGGCACGCTCCCTGGCCAGCTGCCGGCGCTGGGGCTCTGGGCACGGGTGCAGGTGAGTCCCCTCTGGCCCCAGCGGTGGCTGGAGGAGCAGCCAGAGTGTCCCTGCACTGGGTGGCAGGATGGCATCGGGCAGCTGGGGCACCCACCTTGCCCCTGCCAGCCTGAGCAGTGACTTGGGGTTTCTTTTGCTTCTCAGCCCTTGGCTCCACCCCAAGCCTGTGGAAAAGCCAGCAGAGATGGCTCAAGGCAGGCGGGAGGAAGAGGTGCAAGCCACAGTGTGGGGAAGGCTGGGGTGGCAGCAGGACAGTCCCTCTTCTACAGCCACCACACTGGGGCAGCTGAGGGCATGGGCTGGTGGGACCCACTCCCCTTAGCTGGGAGCTCTTATGGACAGCAGGAAGAGCCTCCTACATGCCCAAAGCCCTACAGCTGGAGGCTTCCCTGATCTACAGTATTTGGCTTTGCTGTGAGCATCACACTTGTTTTGTTGCCTTGGGAAAGGTGTGAGATAGATCCTTGTGCTGTCCCGGAAGTGTTCTTGCACCCATGGATCCTCACTGCTTTGTACCACACTCCGTTTGTGGGGCCAAGGCACTCCCATTGTCTTGGGCTGCTCTGAATACTTCTGCATGGAAGGGGATGAGTTCCCAAGGGGTTGCATCCCTGGATCCAGGGGATCCCCTGCCCCCTTCAGCCACCCCATGCATTTAGGCTCTCTCTTCTCCAGGGTGCAACAGAATAACAGGAGCATCTTCACTTGCCCAAGCAGGGCAGGGCTGGGACCGGGGGCTGCAGTGGTGAGACAGCCAGAAACACCTCCCAGGCTCAGCTGGGTCGTGCTCTGCCAGCTTTCACTCTTCAGTGGAATTCACTTGCTTGTATGGAAAAGCAGGGCAGGGCTGGGACCCGGTGGTACTGTTGTGTGTGCTGGTTTGCAGAGCTCTGCTGTGCCTGCTGACAGGGGCACTGTGCCCAGCGTGCCCCAGGAGGAGCTGGGGGCCATTCAGAGCCAGGGACCATTGTGTGCTGCTGCCCAGCACTGGGTGCAGGCGCTGGCAGGGTTCTCTTCACAGCGGCACAGGGAGATGAGAGCAGCTGGAGCTGCCTCTTGCTTGAGCTCATCCTCCCTCCTCCACCCTGGGAACATCTTAAGATCACGGCCAGGCTGCTGCAGCCCAGGTTGCACAATCCCGGGTCCTTTGTCCTTTGCTTATCTGCCTTATCGAGGAGGAAAAGATAACCAGGCATCTTCAGTGCCCTGCAATCAGCACATTTCTCAGGCTTGTAACTCCTCTTATCAGGCTGATCTCTCACCGAGGCCGAGGTTTCCCATGCACCTTTGTACTCCAAGAATGCTCCCAGGTCTGTGTTCAGCCTTGTGCAAAGCCTCGGCCAAGCTGGGAGCTTTCTCCCCAGCCCCCCAGCCCTGGCTGCGGCTGAGCCCTGCACTCCGTTGTGATGGCTCTGGCTGGGGTGGCTGCAGGGCTCGGGGCTGGCACGGGGCTGCTGGACCCACAGCCTCTGCAGAGGCAGCAGGAGCTGCCAGGGGCTTGCCTGAGCCAGCTGGAACAGGCACCCAGCTCCTTGCCCCAAGGCCTTGGTGCGGGCAGGGGTGACACAGAGGGACCTGGGCTAGAAACAGGGCCCATGGGGCAGGATTTTGGGCAGAAGTACCTGGCTCCTTGGGAAGTTGTTGGCTACCACCCTGGGGAAAGGTTGTTTCCAGCCAAATCATGGTTGTCTGGGCTGGGAAAGGGGAATGGGCACAGGTTCAAAAGAGGATTGCCCTGATCCTGCTCTGACTGCTCTGTCCTGTGTTTCCAAGCCCTGCTGTGCCCCCTGTCCTGCTGTGGAAGTCCTGGTGCTGTCCCAGTAGTGCTGACCCAGCATTCCAGCATTGCAGCTGACACAATAGGTTGGAGGGACTACAGGTCACCAGTGTCACCATCACGGTGGCCTTTCAATGTGACCGCCACTAAGAGCCCCTCTGTGTGGGGAATGTGTGTGCCCTTGCCCACAGTGGGCAGCCCCTGTCCTGTCCCACGTCCATCCCATGGTCTCAGCCCCACATCCACGAGCAGGACCTTGCAGGGAGGAACATGAAGCTGCAGCTCCTGTCTTGTCCCTATCTCGGGACAAGTCACTTTGCCCCCCCAGCCTCCCTGTGGCAATAGTTCAGGGTTTTTGTGGGACTACCAGAGCGATCCCAGTGGCTGTGGGTCCCAGATGCTGCCATGTCCCCCCAGGTGAAGGGACTGTTAGTCCCTTGGACTGCCCAGGGCCTGTTCAGTGCCCAGGTTGGGCCTCTGGCAGGGGTCCCCCAGGTGAAGGGACTGTTAGTCCCTTGGACTGCCCAGGGCCTGTTCAGTGCCCAGGGTGTGGGATGGGCCTCTGGCAGGGGTTTGCCCCACTGTCTTGGTGCAGGTGACTGGGGGCTGAAAGAAGGAGATCCAGTCCAGGCTGGGGAGCTCCTGCTGCACCCACCTCATGGAGCATGGGGCCACCCCACCCTGGGGCATACAGTAGGGGCTTGAGCACTAATCAGGGCTGCTGCAGAGGAGACAAGTGTGTGCAGAGGTGGGATCCCACCACTGAGAGTGGCCCTGCTTCGCTCAGAAAATAAGCAGAAATAAGCAGAATAGGGCTGCTGCAGCATCCCCTCTCCCCAGACATGGCAGCATTTGCTGGTGGTGAGACATCATGGCAGGAAGAGCAGCAGGATTTGCTGTTCCCGTGGGATTAATTCCCACAGGTGAGCAGGGGTGGGCAGGAGCTGTGCGTGGGAAGCATGTGCGAGGCCAGGAGGAGATGGCTCTTGTGCTGAGCACTGCCCAGCTGGGGACAGTGCTGGGGGATGCCTTGCTGCCCATGGAGCCCTGCAGCACTCATGTGGGGGTGCTCAGCTTTGGGGAGCTGGGGGCTGCAGGGCTCAGCCCCTCACCCAGGCTCTATCATCCCCAGGGTGACCCAGCCAAGAGGAGGAGAGGTGAGTGAAAGGCAAAGGGGTTTTTATTTTCAAGATGTTTTATAATGGGATTATTAGTTCCCAAGAAGTGTTTCGAATCAATTCGGTAAGGAATTGCTTTCTTTCTCTCCTCCACGGGGATGCGGTGGGAATCCAGCCTTTGGTGTGAACCTCTCAGAGCTCTGGAAGCCACAGATCTGACAAGCTCCCGGCACACTGGAAAGATACCCTGGGCTCCCCGTGGCCCCATGCACCCTACACATGCCTTTTGCTCCATCTCCGGTGTAACTCCGGGCTGTGCAGCATCCAGGCAAGCTGGGATGCAGTCCCAAGAGAACCGTGGCTGCACTGGGGAGGCCTCTGCCTGTCTGAAAGGGAAGAAAAACCTCTCCCTCAAGCCCCTCGCACCTTCCCCCTGCAAACCCCTGTTTTCTGGGGGGATCCAGCCTTTCCCAGCTCAGTTTTCCCGCGTGCCCAGCTGGCATCCTGTGCCTGGCGCCTGGTGGCCCTTTCACCCTGTCGGTGAGGGGAGCACAGGCATCTTCAAAAGCCCTGGGAAGAATTTGGTGGGAGGGGGAGAAAGGGTTTTACAAGCTCCCATTCAGAAATGGTCACTTTGAAGTGATGTAGCATTTTCAACCCTTTGAAGAGCCACAATTAGGAGGGGGCTGGTGCAAGCAAAGGCAAAACTACGGGGTGACCATCACGGCCTTTCTCTCCTCAGGCTTTTAAGGGATGAACTTTCCCTCCCTGCCTGCCTTTTTCCCACGAGCCCAGGGGGTGGGATTGGAGTGTTTGGGGGAGCTGGAGGTTTCCCATCCCCCTGTGCAGGGAAGGAGGGGTTTGCCATTGGCTTTGCCCACCAGCAGCAGGACAGTGGAGGGAGCGTGTTGGAAGAGAGAGCAAATTACTCAGTATCCCTGCAGGCACACAGAATGTCAGTGTCCTGTCAGTGTGCTAATACCATGTTCTGGCCAGGGAAATTTTAGGATCCATTATGGGAAAAGCTGTTGGTCAGGGGTGCTGCATGCTGTCAGTGTAATTTCCATTGCATTGGATCTAAAAGTCCCACCCGAGGTCGATGTCCCTCCCTTCAGGGTCTGGTGCTCGAGAGCAGAGAGGATAGGAGAGAAAAGGGTGCCCAGGCTGAGGCCACCCCACACCACCAAACACAGAAGTGGCACAGGGCAGAGGAGGGTGGTAACAGGGGGAGGACAGAGCCACTGTTGTTGCCTTGGGGATCTGCCACCCACTGGCAGGCTTTATCCTGGAGAAACCCCTGGGAAATGGACTCCTCCTCCACATCCCTGCTCTGGGTGGCTCCGCAATCTCCCAAGAGCAGCCTGGGTGTTTCAACACTTGCCAGAAATTGGAAAAAATGGGAAATTGAGGTCATTGTTTTCCCTTTAAGGGTAAATGTCAGTGTCCAAAGCAGATACAGGGGGAGAAGGAAAGGCCCATCTGTGAGTGAGGCCATGGGGCACTTGTTCAGGGCACAGCCCTGGTGAACCCAACTCTTGCCCAGTGTCTCAGGTGGGGCTTGGGGCTGCTTCCCTTTGTGCTGTGGCAGCAAACCCCAAACTGGTGCTGCTGCTGGGCAATGTGGGGGTGAAGGGCTGGCCTGCAAGTCCCCCGTGAGAACATCCCCAGCGACAGCCATGACCCTGAGCATGGCTGATGGTGTGCTGGGAACTGGGGGTGACCGTGCCCCACCAGCTCGGGCTGGCAATCTGTCCTGGGGAGGTGTGGAAGGTTTTGGGGGGGGTCTGGGGAACCCCCCTGAACCAGGGGCTGGTGTGAGCTGATCCTTGCACACCTCCCCTGGGCTGTGGCTCTTTCTGCCCATGCGATGGGCAGGCCCAGACCCCGCTGCACAGCTGAGGGTGACTGCCAGGACAGGACAGCTCTGCCAGGATGGAATGGCCTTTTCAGGGCTGCTCCCAGCCGTGGTAATCCCCAGCATGTCCCACCTCCTGAGGGCTCTGGAATGCAGGGAAGGGCCAGCTGGGAATGCTGGTGTCCCTCTCGGTCCCAGCTGGCTCCTGACAGGGTCCCTATGATTCTGAAAAGGGTCGGGTGGACACCCCAGAAGTGTCGCTAGAGCGATGCCGGATGCCTTTTGTTGTCTTAATTGGTGCCCGAGCAGGACAGATCCCCCTGGGGGGACACCCGCAGCAACAACTGCGGCCCGTTCCCGGCTGCCGGGCTCCCTGAGGGATGGCGGGATGGAGGCGGCTCGGCCCTCGGCTGCCCGGGCCCGGAGGCCTGCCCTCCCCGCCCGGGCTGTGGGGGACAGCGCAGGGGACAGGCCCCTCGTCACCGTGCCCCTGCCCGGGGTACCGGGGGTCACACACTGCGGATGGGCCCAGAGCCGCGGGCAGGCCGGTGCAGCCGGCCCCTCGTCACCGTGCCCCCGCCCGGGGTACCGGGGGTCACACACTGCGGATGTGTCCCCGTGTCCGCGGGCAGGCCGGTGCAGTCCTGGGTGCCATTAGCAGCCGATCACGGTGGCGGTTTAATTAAAGCAGCAGTGGGGCTTTCCCTGGGCCTGTCTGCCCCATAAGGGCACACCCCGCTCCCAGAGCAGCCTGGCCTCACCTGTGACCTGGAGGCAAAGCCACCGCCCCAGAACGGCAGCAGCGCTGGAGCCATTACCCAGCCTGGAACAGACCCCAAGACAGCGAAGGAACTGCAGGAGGTGCCAGGAGGCTGCAGGGGAGCAAGTGGCTGCATGGGTGCCACGCTTAGGGCAGGCAGCTGCTGGATGCTGGTGACCAGCCACCCTCTCCCGAGCTCGGGAGATGCTCCTCCCTGGGATGCAGGACAGAGCCTGGATGCCTGCAGCGATGACAGGCCCCTCACAAGGTCGCTGACATGGTTGAGCACAGATTCCACTCAGCACACCAGTGACTGGTGTTTATCTGCTGTCTCCTCTCTCCACAGGCTGCCCGGGGAGCCAGAGTTGCAGTGTCACGGGGCCAGTCTGTGACACAGCCCAGCCTGGCTGCACCCCACACAGCGAGCAGGCGGAGGGGACGGAGCAGCGCGGGGCAGCCACGGTGCTGGCAGGGGACACGGTCCTGCAGGTCACTGCCATCCCCCCCGGGGTGCTGGACAGAGCAGAGCTCACCGACTTCTACTGCTGCACCTGCTGTGGGAAGGTGTTTTGGGAAGGGTCCCATTTTGGACACATTGTGTCCCAGTTCCAGGATGTTCTTGTGGCCTCTAGGGATGCACAGAGCATCTATGAGCTGAGCTGAGCTGAACTGAGCCAAGCTGAGCTGAGCTGAGCTGAGCTGAGAAGCACGGGGGCTCCACAGGGGAACTGGGACTGCTGGGGAACCTCAGCAGATTTTGGGCCCTGGGTTTCCAGAGAGAGGTTGGAAGTGAGGAGGTAGGAGCTCTCATTTTGGGATCCGTCACGGAGAGCACTGTCACAGGTGCACCAGTGGTTTTTGGGCAACAGCCCAAAAATACATGGCCTCCATGAGATCATTAAAGCAGAGGTGGCTGAAGAATGGACCCTTTGCTTTATTTCTGCTCCTCTCAAATTACACATGGCAAGATGGTGGGAGGGCTCTGCTGAACAAAACCACCACCTCAGCAGTGCCAACCCCACCACACCCACACACCCCAGTGCCCCTCTGCCCACTCACTCGGGGGAGGCAGGAGCTGCATCCCCACAGCAGCCCAGGGCAGAGAGCATCCTGAGCACTCCCAGCCTGTGGGACTGTGCCAAGCCTCAGCCCATCCCCAGCATCCTCTCACCCTGACCCTGTGCTCCCAGCACTCCTTGGAGGCAGCTGGTGGGCGCAGGGGTGGAGGTCTGGGGAGGCTGAGCATTGCTGGGCTCAGGGGAATCTCTGGGTGCACCACAATGCCCACGGGCACCTGCACCCCTGTGCTGCAGCCTGGGATGCCCCAGCAGGGCCAGGCTGGTCCTGGGAGGGTTCCACTGTGCCAAAGCTGCCAGCCTCCTCCTGCCCTGGGGAGGTGCCTCAGCACAGCCCCGTGCCCAGGCTCTGTGCAGGGTGCACAGGAGAGGCAATATGGTTTGTGGGCCCACTAATACCAGGAACTGGCATCACTGGTGGGACTGGCCAGAGGAGGCTGCATCTCACCATGGAGATCCCAGCCATGTCCTGCAGCCCCTGGGGGCTGCTGTCCAGTGCCTCCTGATCCATGGCCAGGCTCACACCATTCCATCCTGAACAGAGGAGCATCTGCAAAATTCCTCCTCTAATCTGTTTTAACTGCCAGGCCCTGCTGTTATTGTCGAGAGGGCCTGAGGAGCTCTTGGCTGAGGTGTGACATTTATGAGCTGGCAAAGCACCTGCTCAGGCAGCTCATGCTGCAGTGCAGGACTCATTTTCCCCCTTCCAAAGGTCCTGGCCACACGGTGCCAGGGCCTCCTTCCTCCCAGGGATATCTCACCCTCTGGCTCAGTGCTTTAATAAAAGAAACACACCATTTTTCCACTTTAAATATTCTACTTTTCCATAAGATCCACAATATTAATGCCTGAGCATTAACTGGTGCAAGTGACCCTAAAAGGCAACCATCCCCACACTGCCAGTACAGGGCACTGAGCAGCCCAAGCCCCTCGGGCTCCACACAGACTCGTCCTTGTGTCAGCACCCTGCTTCTTCAGGGTTTGTTCTGGGAGGGCAAAAACTGGGCATGAGGCAAAGCAGGAATGATGCAGAGCCTGCAACTGCTGCCCCCACGGTGTGTGCTGCTTGGTCATGCCATGAAATAAAACTCTCCAAAATGGGATTAACCTTTCCAGGTCCTGTTTAGAGGAAGCTGCTGAGCCACATGCACATCTGACCTTTCATGGGCACTTCTGGCCTTTGCTTGCTGGGTTTTCCAGAGCTGTGGTTTCACATTAGTCTGCCACTGCTTCTGCTGTGGAGGGGAGCTCACACGAGATGGGGACACACGGCCCTGTCCCTCACCTGGGGACAGATGCCTAGAAGGTGCCTTTCCCTCTGATCCCTGAGGACAGTAGGGTCACCTCCTGGTCAGCTCCAGGATTTTATCTGCTTGAGAGCTCTCCCAGTTTAGGAGCTCTTGTGCTTACAGTCAGGGCTGTGCTAGGGCAGGGTCCCATGGCTGGGACTTGTTCTAGAGCACCAACCCAGGGCAGAATCCAGCAAGTGGTGTGTACCTGTGGACATGGCACAAAACAGCTCCTAGAGGATTCTGTCCAGCTCCTGGGGACAGGGGCAGTGGCTGGGACCCAGCACAGCACCTCTTCCTTTCTGCTGCCCACAGGAGGTGGTGCCGTGGTAGGAAGTGTGCAGCAAGGTCACCTCCAATCATAGACACGGTCAACAGCAAATTCCACATCAGATTAGCCTTGAGGAGCATCCAGGAGGTAATAAATTGTCCAGTTTTGAATGGTGGATACATATCAAAGGGAATTAAAGCAGCTTTCTAATCAGCCTACAATATTGTTTCCTTATCTGGCTGCTTAAAAAAAAATAATTACAAAATCCCATTGTCTGTGTCATTCTAATGTTTAACATTTATTAGGGCAGTAATGAGCCCTCCTTGGTTTTATGGAGCCGTTTGATCCCGCGTGGGAAGGCAGCTCCAGCAGTGCTGTGGCAGGGACGAGTGCTCTGGGTGGGCTGCCCGCTCCAGAGCCCATGGATCTGCTTCACCTGTGCTCAGCTCCTGCCTTTGCGTGACAGGATGTCATCATGAGGGGACCCTGGGATAAAGCAGCACTGAGGAAGGTTTTTATTGCTCTTTATCATGAATGAGATCTGGCTGAGCAGCATCTATCCCTCAGCCCTGGGAAACCACACGCTGCATCGGATGTCAGACGGTTCCTCTCCTCTCCTTGTGTACTCCCACACATCCTTCAGAGTTTGACGGGGACAAGGTGTTTGACACTCAGGCCAGCTTTAGTTTACAAATGAATATATCAACATTGTTCCTCATCAGGCAGGAATGCACTTCCCTCCCTTCTCCCCCACCTTATCCCCATCCCCTTCCGAGCAAACTTCCTTCCTCCTGTAATCTGGAGCGGAAACCTCGCCACATATTTGACCGGCTCACAGAAATCAGCTCAGTGTTCCCTGGCATGACTTTGTGCCTTGAACTAGGACTGGTTGGCCTCTAAGGCAGAGAGCAAGGCACGGGAGGAGGAGGAGGACAGGGGCTGTATCACTGCCCATCCTCATCCTGGAGCCTCTCTTCCAGCTGGATGCTCCAATTGAGCTCCCAGTTGCTCGGCTGCCATTTTCAAACAAACCTGTGTGGGTTTGGACACAGATCCAGCCCGAGCTGGCTGTGAGCTCCAGCCCTTGTGCTGCCCCACACCACGGGAATTCTGCTCCCACAGGGCACGGTCACTGCTCATAGTGAGGGAACAGGAGAGAGATGTCCCATGGAGGAGAGACATCTGCATCAACCAGGGGACATTTGCTCCTGGGGAATAGCCTGGCACCAGACCTTTCCCAGCAGCCTGCCAATATGTGGGCATGACCCTTAGGCAAATGAACTTCTGTATCACTCACCAGGCATGTGTCCCATGGGGACTATGGCCGTGTCACCCCCAAGCCTGCTTAGATCCCAGGGTTGTCCCCACAGAGCAGTCAGCAGGTACAGAGGCCACTCCTGGTGGGCTGAAATGAGTCTTCTGGGGGAACTGTGCAGTGGGAGCAGTGGGGTGACATATCCCCATCCCGCAGTCATCCACAAAGGAGTGGCCATGCAGTGCAACCATGTGGTGGTGCAACCAGATTGCCCAGAGGTTGCCCCTGGATCACTGGAAGTGTCCAAAGCCAGGTTGGACGGGGCTTGGAGCAGCCTGGGATAGTGGAAGGTGTCCCTGCCTGTGGAAGGGGGTGTGACAAGATGAGTTTTAAAGATCACTTCCAAACCAAACCAGTCTGTGATTCTGTGGTAAGTGGCCCCAAGAACCATGTGTCTCAGGAGATGGCAATTTCCTGGCACCAAAACCCTGCACTGACACTGGATTCAAACCTGGAGCTCATTCAGATGATCCAGGATAAAATAATTATGGCCCAAAGGCAGAGAAGCTGGCCCAGGGCACATAAAACCAAGGTCTGTGTCTCCAACCAACTCTATCAGCACCTGCAAAGTGAGGATATGGCCCCTCCATGTGCCAGTTTTCCAGTACCAGAAGTCCTACAAGCAGCTGCCAGCACACCAGGTCAGGGGGGTGTGATAGTGTCAGTTTAGCAGAACACAGGTTGGAGCCCTGGCAGTTTGGAGAACATGTGTTCAATCCCACAGGGACATCAGTCAAGGGGATGCCTCAGCATGGCCTGGCAGCGCTGAGACTCTGGTCTAGCCCGAGATCCCTGCCTGTGGCACCAGACAGGAATTCTCCAGCTCCAAATATGTCCCAGCTGGTGGCCTTTTGCTCCAGGAGCATTTTTGTGCTGTCGGACACCAAGACCATAGGCTACCTCAGAAGAGCTGCAGCATTTCCAGCAGAATAAGGACTGACAAGATAGGGCACTGGAGTGGTTAAAGGCCAAGCTGCAGTAAGATAACCCGAACTGTACAGCACAGCACCACATCCTCCAGCCCAGGGATACCCCTGCCTGTGTGCTCTCCAGAGGACAAGAACTACGTGTAGTGTTATGAGTCTCACTCAGGTTTTAAACCCTGTTTGTTACAGGCTGGGAGGGACCGTGCAGAACAGCATCTACAGTGACATCCGTGGGAAGTGGCAGTCCCCAGACCATGTTCCTGTAGTGGCCCCTGTGGTGTGGGAGTCCCAGGAGGATGCCCTTGTCCACAGAAATTCCCAAACTACTCGTGAGAGCTTTTCTTGTGGTGCTGTGCTCCCTGCAGAGGACACAGGGCACCTACATGCCTTCACTGCAAGAGCATGAGGTTTCCCTCGCAAACGCCCAGCTCTGCCTCAGGAGCTCTGCCTGAAGGGCTGGCAGGGTCCCAGCCCACCCACGCACAGTCTGGGTGCCACTGAAGGCTCCTGGTGTGTGCTGTGTCCTGGGGAGAGCATGAGGCCAGTCCCACGGCCACACCCCTGCTTGTGCAGCTCTCAGACCACAGGGAAGACCGGTGTCCCCTGAGACCCCCCTCGACCTCTTCCCCACCTCAGCCCCGCAGGGATCCCCTTTCTTGTCCCCAGAGGTGAATCCGCACAAGGGAGGCTGTTCCCAGGCAGCAGCCACAGCCCCGGCTGGGCTCCCTGCACCCCCACATCTCCGCGCTGGGGCAGGGACACTGGCCGAGCCCCGGCTTCCCCATGGGGGCTCTGGCAGCCGCTTTGCAAACAGCCCGGGGCAAAGCGCCGGCGCGGCCAGCGGCGGAGGAAACCTGCGCGCTTCCTGCGGCTCCGGGAGCCGAGCGGGCAGGGCGCTCTCCCTCGCACGCCTCTCGCTGCGGCTCTGCGCTGGGAAGAAAAGCTCCCGTCTTTCCCACGCTCTCCGACACATTTTAATGAATTAAGTGGGGGCACGCCCCCTCGCCGCCTGCCCCGGATCCGTCCCCCCGGCTCTCCGGCTCCCTGCAAGGAGGCCTCGGGGGGTGGCTGGGCTCTCGCTGCCGTCGTGTCCGCTCGGCCGGGAGGACGGGCATGACCCGCTGGGGTTTTTTGGAAGAGGGCTGCGACGTGCCCAGCCCGGCTTGCCCAGCCTCGGGCGGGCTCTGAGCCCCGCCGGCGATGCCGGTGGCAGCCGGCCCTTCTCCCTCCCGCAGGCTCTCACGGGCACGGGGAAATTTGGCCGTCACGTCTCCTGAGGAGGGGAAATTTGTTCCGCGCCTCTCGGCGTGACCGTTCGCTTAAGGCATCGCAGCTCCGGGGCCCTTCCCCGCCTCCCGCCACGTCTTCCCCTCGCCTCCGAAGGGAGCGGGTAAATCACGGGGTGGGACTACTGGTTTTGCAGGGCCCCATAAAGGGAGGGCAGGGGCCTCCCAGCGCCGGCCGCGGCCCCCGACAGCCCCTTCGCAGCCGGCGGGCAGCGGGGCCGTGCAGGGAGCCTGGCCCGGCCGTCACACCGCTCCCGGCTCCTCTCCGGTTACAGAGCTGGGTACAAACTGGAGCTGAAATGCAGCTTTTCAAATCTGTCGTTTTATTTCCCGTTCCCCCCCACCCCCCGCTTTTTCGCTCTTTCCCCTCCCTCTCTGGCCCCGTTCCCAGGCCGAGTCCTGCCCCCACCTGCCAGTCCCGAACATTTGCATGGCTGGGTCCCTGCCCGCGCTCTTTTTCTCACCAGTGTCACTGGCAAATGCAGATTTGCTTGCAAGGATGTAACTCCGGCCAAGCCCCAGACCGGGGAGGTGTGAGCAATTCCAGCTCTCCCACGGCTCGCTCACCAGGGCCCTACACCTCGCAGAACACGGCCAGTAAAGACACAAAATCATTTGTCCCGGGATATTTAGGAGTAAATTGGAGAGGGCGAGCCAGGAAGAGCAGAGCCCCGACACCCAGGCCATCGCACCTACGCCCGGCAAAGCTGCCGCACGACCCCGCTGCCTTCCTTCTTGCAGCTTTATCGTGGCGGGGTTGCTGGGATTGGTGCCGGGGGACGGTCGCGGGCTGCGGTGGCTCGGGCGCTCCCCGCACGCTGTTTGCACTGCCGGGCTGTGCCGGCCCCGGGCACAAGCGGAGCTCCCGTGAGTCACCGTGAGTCACAGCACGTCCCGCCGCTCGCCGCGGCACGGGAGACAGGACAGGGATTGCCGCTGGTGATCCCCGCTGGCACCATGGCGGGGCGATGGGGACAGAGCCACCGCCTGCTGCCCGGCACGGGGCCGGGACAGAGGCAGGGGTGGCTCCTCTCCATTGTCCTCGGGCAAACCCGGCTCCTGCACGGACCCGCGGAGCTCCAAGCCCTGAGCCCATCTCAGTGCCCTGTGCCAGCGCTGCAGAGGCCCCAGCGGCACAGGAACATCCTGGGAGAAGCTGCAAGGGCACGGGAGAGCAGAGGGGGGTCTGCTCATCCCCATCCAATCCTCATCCCCATTCCAATCCCTCCTGTTCCCTGAGAACGATGGACTGCAACACACTCACAACAGAGAGGTGTGACCGGGAGAGCTCTGGCCGGAGGAAGCCAAACAGTCAGACCTCTAGAAACCAGACAGATGGAATTGGGATAGAGATTGGGATGAGATGGGCATCGGATGGGCACGGGTGAGGAGATGGGGATGTGGATTGAGAGGAGGATGGGGTGGATGGGGATTGGATGGGGCTGGGGATTCGATGGTGATGGAGATGGGGTGTGCATGGGCATAAGATGACGGTGGAGACAAGGACAGGATGGAGATCTGGAGATGGGAATGGAGATGGGGCTGGATGTGAAGATGGGAATGGGGATAGGGATGAGAAGAACTAGCTGCAGAAACTGACTTAGAAAAGCAGACCCCTTATAGGAGGAGAATGAGGAGCTGCTTCAATAACTCCTTACAGCCTAAATCCAGGTGGAATGAGAAGGACCCAGATGGGGCAGGAGTGTTCCCAGACTACTCCAGCTGCTGGGAAAAGCCACAGGAACAGACCGTGAGGCAAGTCACACTCGGAGCTCAAGGCCACTGTCCTCCAGCTGTGAGACAGACACTCCGCGATGGCACATTTCATCGGCCGGGGCTGAATTTAGCAGTTGGCCGATTTCTCCCTTTCCCTTCCCAAAAGGACACGCCAGCAGTGCCAGGTGACAGCAGCTTGCCACCCAGCTGCCCCGGCGCGGCTGCTGTCACCTCGGTTTATGACACGCTCCTTCCTCTCCCCGCACCTCCCGCCCTCTCCTGCTGACCAAATGCCCGGGGGGCGGTGGGAGCTGCCCCGGGAGCGCCGCTTCCCACCTGCACTCGCCGTTTGCTCCCGGGACCAAACGGGAACAGGAGGAGGGTTGGGGGTGAGGGGGCCAAGAGGGCCCCCCCAAGAGGGTCTCCGCAGCATCGTTTTTGGTTGATGCACTGCTTTCGGGATTTTTCCCCCCATTTTCTCGCCTTCCTGTGGTGTCCACAGTTCCCAGCACACCCGCACCACGAACATCGGCGGGGCAGCGGGTCCGACCCCGATTAAAGCCCCGGGCAGGCGAACTGAGCCACTGCAGGTCTGGCAGTGCATGGTGGGGCTGCACCTTTTCCGCCTTGAACCAGTCTCACCCGTGGGTCCCTGAAACCCGGTGCAGCCCCCGCTGGGAGCCCGCAGAGGCGCTGGGCCCCCGGGCTGAACGCCCTGATCTGCTCTGTGACCCGTCCCTGCTGGCTCACGGGGACACAAACCCGCAGCAACACGGTGTCACCCCGAATCGGGGCAACCGCCGCCCCTCGGTGACCGTCCTTCTTGCGGGTCCCGGCTGGGGGGCCCGAGCCGAGCCGGGCCGAGGCGCCGCCGTCGCCGTCCATGCGGGGCGGCGGGGCCGAGGCGGCGGCATGAGCCAGAGCGAGGTGTCGCCGTGCGCGGCGCCGCCGCCGCCCCCCAGCCAGCGGGTGTTCCAGGAGGCGGTGCGGCGCGGCAACACCAAGGAGCTGCAGTCGCTGCTGCAGAACATGACGAACTGCGAGTTCAACGTCAACTCCTTCGGGCCCGAGGGGCAGACGGCGCTGCACCAGTCCGTCATCGACGGTAACCTCGAGCTCGTCAAGCTCCTGGTCAAGTTCGGCGCCGACATCCGCCTGGCCAACCGCGACGGCTGGAGCGCCCTGCACATCGCCGCCTTCGGGGGCCACCAGGACATCGTCCTCTACCTGATCACCAAGGCCAAATACTCCGCCGGCGCACGGTGATGCCGGGGCCGCCCCTCTGCGCTCGCCCGGTGATGCCGGGACCGCTCGCCCGGTGATGCCGGGACCGCTCGCCCGGTGATGCCGGGACCGCTCGCCCGGTGATGCCGGGACCGCTCGCCCGGTGATGCCGGGCGCCCCCCACCCTTCGCTGCCCCGGCCATGCCGGGGACCCTCCCCGCTCCCCCGGCCGCCAGAGCTGCTCCCGCCCCCGCCCGGGGCGGGTTTGGCGAAGATTTGGGGCCCCACGCAGAACAGGCCACATTTTTAAGTTTTTTTGTTTGTTTTGTTTTTGGTTTTTTGTTTGTTTTGTTTTTGGTTTTGTTTTTTTTAATCTTCCAAGGGTTGTTTCCTACTGTAACGTGGTTTTTTTCCTCCATCTACCTCGGCTGCACTCACAGTATTCACGGTTTCAGTTTGACATCTGGGCAGATGCTTTAACACCCCCCGCCCCGTTCCCTCTCCGCTAATATTTAATCCCCCTCCCCGCCCCCCTCGCTCCCGACCCTCCCATTTAAAGTGTTCTGGCTCAGAAACTAATTCATTTCAACGCCCCCAAAAGCCACCCCGCAGACCCCGCTGCTGCTGGGGTGCGCTCTCCGGTGCCAGCCCCGTCCATGGGCCGCGGCCTGCCTGGCGAGGAAGAGCAGGAAAGTCTTCTTCCTCTCCGAGGTTTTCCCACCGCTGACTTTTTTTTTGTCGAGGCAATTCCGTTGGAATATGACAGACGTGGTTTTCTCACCCCGATTGCTCCTGGGTTTGGCTGATTTTGCGTTGGGTTTTCTGCTTTGGTTCTTCCTTGGGTGTCCGAAGAAAGTCTGCATCCTCACCCGCTCCACGAATCTGTTTAGCACACGTGAGATCCCAGGAAAAGACATTGAGTCCTTGTGGTTTTGTGTGTAAAGGGGGATTAGCAAATCCTGGACTGGTTTTTTTCTTAAAAAAAAAAAAGTGAAATAAACTCTAGAGGCAGAGGATTTTCTTTTGCACAGAAAAGGGGCGCGAGCGCTCTCTGCTGCCTACAGAGATGCTGGAAAACTACTGAAAAGAGTTTGGGAACTTTTATTTTTTCTTTTGGTGAAACTTGGATAACACTTCTCAATGCAGAACGATTCACTTGACGTACGTACACTCACCCGCCTTTTATAGGAGATGTATATCCCAGCGGATATATCTTTAAAAGGAAAGGGAGGAAGCCGCGCGAGCCACCCGAAGGCGCATTTTGAAGTGACTGCACGTATAATCGCAAATGCTGCTTTTTTATTGCTATGGCACAAGAACATCCATTTGGAAAATGCAGAAAAGTTCAGAAGTCTCCTTTCTCCTGCTGGTCTTTCAGCCCTCTTCTCCTCGTCTGCACTAAAGCCATCCGTATCACTGCCATCTCCCCACTTTTTCCTCTCTTGCTCTCTGCATCCAAACCATTCTGATTAAAAAAAGAGAAAAGAAAATAGTTAACTGATGGTTTTTTGGGGTTGTGTCTTGCCTATTTATCATGTCTGTATATATTTGTGGGTGAAGATTGTGAGCCTGGTTTTGTTTGAAGCTGATGGTGAGTGTTTCAAGAATATGGTTTGGGATATATTCTCTTTTTTTTGTTCATTTTTTCTTTTCCTAGTCTTAAAACTAAAAAAAAAAACAAACCTAGAGTCTGCCCTGATTATTTCCCATTGCACTGAATATTCTGCTTTGTCTCTGATAATTTCACCTGCAGTTGTTTGTATTTTGTTGGGTTTTTCATTTGTTTTTGTTCTTTCTCCCCTTCAGCAATTTGAGGTGATTTTAAAAGCTCCAGATTTAAAGAAGCAAAAAAGCCCTGTCAAAAGTGTCTACTGTTATTGCTGTAATTTGCAAGGAACTGCTTGGCTGAAATCTTTCTGTGAGCATGGAAGGGGGTGTCCAGCACTTCCACTGGTGCTTCTGTGTGATAGTTACGGGGTGGGAACAAGACCTTTCCTAGTGAGGTTTTAGCGTTGTTACCAGATGGTTGCACATTTTTTTTTTTTACATAAATGGATTTGCCACAATGAAATGTCATAACATTTATGACATGATATTAAAAAGTGTATTGTAAAGCCGAGTTCTAGATGGATTTTTAAAAAGAAATCTTGGTTATAAACCCAGTCTAAAGGGAGCTCTGTCCAGTGTTGTAAAGACAACATGATGTAACCCATATTTATATTTTTATAAAATACCTATTAAGACTGTGAATCTCCTGTGTGAATTGCTGGGTGAGTTGTTTAAGAAAAGTATTGTTCCTTTTCAGCCTCCTGGAGCTTTAGACACGCTGAGATTTTTGGGAAACTGTACGTCGGGGAAGGGGGTTTGCTCTGAAATTGTGAGTTGATGTATTTTTACATCCCTTTGTATTTTACTGAAAAGCTGCTGCCCTTCCTAGTCCCTAGAGTTTCAATTTTCTATGCAACCCCCACACCCCCATCTCTCTTGATCCTGAGAAGTAAAAGGGATGCAGATTGATTCAAATTGAAATGAGGGTCCCCCCACCCCCCTTGTTGGCTCATCGTGCTGCTGACCCTTCACGCCAAAACGGGGAGTACAAGGAAAAAAAAAAAGAGGCAGGTGGGGGAGGCTGTTTCATGCATGACTGGTTGCCTTCCAGCAGTCATCTTTTTAATTATTATTGTTATTTTTGTAAGAAGAATATATTGATAATGTCAGTGAAATAAGCAGACATTGAAGCTGATGCACAGATTGCTCCAGAAAGGAGTTTTTCTGTAGATTTTTCTTTAGATGCAAATACCTTTTTTAATTATGTTAATTAATGTTAAGAATTTTTAGGCTTATATTGAAGCTGTATGTGGGTCACTATATGATCATTTCTAACTGGATAAAGTCTGTACAGTACAGCATATTCCTGAGTGTATGATATAGACGTGTAGCCCCAGAGTGCGAAATTTATAAATAAATTTTTCATTGATCTTTTTATAAAAAAAAAAGGCTGTTTTGTTTGTTCTTTTCCACGTGGTTATTGGCAATGCTGGGTGTTTGCTGTGGTGGGGGATAGCTGGCTGGACCTCAGGTGTCTCTTCTGGTGTCAAACCTGTAGCTGTTCTGGGCTTGGATGCAGCCCTGGAAGGGGATGGCTGGGCTGGCTTTGGGGGGGAAGTGTGGCTCCTTCCCACAGGCTGGAGGGAGTCCCCCGGGCCCAGGGGTGTCCTGGTTTGCCCCATCTCAGCATTCAGAGGCTGCTAGAGGGATGATGACTCAGGACAACCCCTGGTGCTGGATGGGCACGTGCTGTTTGAGACATTCCTAAAGAAGCTACTTGTCCCCAGGGAGTGAGGGGAGAGCTCACAGCCAGTCCTGGGATGGGAACTTGGGGTGCATTTTTGGGGCTGCAGCCCCAGCCTGTCTGGCTGAGCACCCACAGCTCCCTGTGAACATTCCCAGCTTTTTGATTCCAGCCTGGGCCCCAGCAATGGTTTGAGGCGCCTCAGGCTGTGGGGATGGGATCAGTGGAGCCCTCAGTGCCCCAAGGAAGGGGCAGAGGGTGAGGGTCAGCGTGGCCTCCCCATTCCCAAAAAGATCTGTGTGCTCTGGCGTGGCTCCCAGGGGAGCAGTGCCCCGCAGGGCTGAGCCCCTCTCTGGAGCCTTTCCTGAGCAGGGGCAGCCCCGTGCCTGCCCTGGGTGACCGGAGCCAGGCCTTTGAAGGCACAATGCAGGCCAGCCGCCCTCGCTGGCACTGCTCTGGGGTCAGATGAGGCTTTTTCTCTATCAATAATTCTGCCACCTCTGCAAATGCCTAAATCCCAGGGAAATTTGTGCTGTGCTCAGTTTGGCTCTGGGTGTGGGTTCCCAGGGATGCGAGGAGTGGCATTCTGCAAACACAGTGGGGGGGAAACCTGGAGAAAAGCCTCAGTGTGACCTTTCCAGGTTGGCCAAACTCCACTCCAATGTGCCAAGCCCTGTGCCATCTGCTGCCAGCATGGGTCAGTGCCTGGCACAGACACAGCTGGTGTCCCCAGGTGCCCTAGGGACACACAATCACCCGGGCAGCAGCCCAGTGTGGGCAACATGGGCACCAAGTGACCTGGATGGATCTGAGCAGGAGAAAAAAGATAATGCCAAAACCATCAGTCGCAACCACTGGTGGTCCTGGAGCTCCTTCACCGAGGGGCCTATGGCAGCTGCTGACTCCAAACCTGTTGGGTGTGTGGGCTGAGCACCACTGCCCTCCCCAGCTGTGGCTCTGTGTGACATTGGCCACCAGCATCTGCTGCCAAGCCTCGCCGTGGCTGTGCTCCCCAGGGCACATGGGGTTACACCTGTGGGTAGAAATAATCCCAGCCTCATCCCTTTGCACTTGGAATGCTGCAAAACCTCGTCCTGCGGTCCTGTGCCTGCGCTGGGATTTCACAGAGCTGGGCTCACCTGGCTCAGCTCAGCCCTGCAGCTTCTCACCCTTCACCTTGTCCCTGTGCCCCAGAGCTGGGCTGGGCCAGCCACCGCTTCAAGGACAGGTTTTTCTGGGGAAACGCAGCATTCCTGTGTGTGGCTCCTCTCCCCACCGTAGATAGGGTGGGCTGGGGTCTCCAGCAGCCCCTGATTTGGGCATCCTCCTGGAGCCAAGCCCAGCAAAGCCCCTCTGTGTTCCCCACATGTGGTGGCCCCAGCAGTGGAAATGTGCTGAGGACACAGCTGAACCCCAACCCCAGGGCTGAGCGCCCTGGGCAGCAGCTGCCCTGGTGCCAGGCTCCTCCCAAGGCCCATGGCCACCCCACTTTGCAGCTTTCCTCTACAGAAACCCTGTCCAAGAAATCTAGGAACTTCAAAGACTTGATTTTTTTACCCTCTTGTTCTTTCCCTTTTCTATTTTTGTTCCAATAACACAGGAATTTTGGATGGTTTGGTGGTGTAAGCACATTCTTCTGGCATTTTTGCCTGTCCCTGGCTGCGTGTCATTGTCCGTCGGCCACATTACGTAGGTGCTGTTGTTCCAAGAGAAACCAAAGCAAGAATTTGAACTTTCAAGTGCTTCCTGCCATTGTCTTTTGCTTTTGTTTGTGCTGCTGACTCCAAACCAGATGGGTCGGGCTCCCCTCCGGCTGGGGGGCGATGGGAAGTCAACACAGCCCGGCGAGGTTTGACAGCTTTGTCTTCTCTTCTATTGCCCTTCATCCGTCAAGCTTGGCCATCGGCGCTGAATCGGCCGTCACACAAGGGTGTGGGGGAGGAGGTGGGATTTTATTTGAATTTCAGGGAGCTTAACACAGGGAGTAAGTAATGAATGAGAAAGAAAGACAGTGAGCAGGCAAGCAAGAGGGGACAGGCTGTAATCAAAATTCAGGACATTTTAAATAGATGCTTTGTTGGACGTTTGTATGACTATGATAATGCCGCAGCCCAGCAGTCCAAAGAGGAGTTACCTTTTTAACAAAAAAGAATCGCAATCAACTTCTGTTCGGTGTCGGTAAGGAGCCGGTGGCTCAGGCTGCCTAGCCAGGCTGGCTTCATTTCCAAATTTCAGAAGTTTTTGCTGCTTATCAAGGCATTCTGGGCTCCATCCCTGTGGATGGATGGATGGATGGATGGATGGATGGATGGATGGATGGATGGATGGGGGATGGATGAGGGATGGATGGATGATGGAGGGATGGATGGATGGATGGATGGATGGATGGATGATGGAGGGATGGATGGATGGAGGGATGGATGGATGGATGGATGGATGGATGGATGGATGGACGGATGGATGGTCAGCAGCACCAGGCTCCTCAGTGCATCGTGCAGGACAGGGGAGCTGATGGTTTCAGCCTGTTTTTGCTGCTGACCCAAAGCTGCTGCAGTATTTGGTGCTGGGACTGGGTGCAGAGGTCCTGTCCCCCATATCCATCCCAGGTCACCCTGTTCCTGCAGCATGGAGTAATTTTTGGCTCTTCTTGGGGTGTACATGAGCATCACACACTGCCATGAGGTGAGCATAGGATTTTCAGTGCCATCCCCCATGCCCTGAAATCACTGTTACTCTACAGAAGCCCATGCTTGGAGGACTGTGTCCTCCCTAGGATGTTCCCAGCACAGAATAAGCAGCTCCAGTTTCTCCTTGGTGCAGCAAGTGCTCCCTAGGGCACACGTCATGCCCCAGGAATGACGCTGGTCCATTGTGCAGGAAGGAGAAACCTCTTCCCAAAACCTCTGCAGTTGCCATGCTCCTCTGCCACCATGAGCACCCATCTTAGCGTGCCCAGGGAGAGCTGACCTCTGGGGCTCACCCTGGGTGGGACACAGACCTGTAGTTTTAGTGAATTTTTGGCTTTTTAACAGGTTTCTCTTCCTGGGGAGAAATGGTCAAGCAGGACAACATTGTGGTTTGGCTGGCTTTGGGGAAAGCAGTGGATGGGGTTAGGATCTGGAAGGGTGGAAGGTGCTTGGCTGGAGGGATTGAGGGATGGCAGAGGCCTGGTGGGATCACTGGGGGGGTGGAAGAATGCAGGGAGAGGGACTGGCTGGGAGGGATGGGTAATAGAGGCCTGGTGGGATGGATGGGTAAGGGATGGGTAGAAGAATGGAGAGGCAAAGCTGGACAACTGGAGCGATGATGGGGTTGGGTGTGCTTGGGACAACCATTTTAACTGGGAACTCCTCATTCAGCCTGACTCCTCAGAAGGGTAAAACTCCCCAGGCAGCTGCATGTTTATCCCAGTAGGATGGCTATGGCTCTGCTGACCCCTCCTCAGGGGGGCATGGAGGACGTGGACATGAGCATGGAGCAGTGGCAGAGTGGGCCCAGTGAGCAGAGCCCTGCCCAGCACTGGCTGGAGGGGACATGGACAGAGTGGACATTTACTGGCCAACACTTGGTGGCTCTGCTGTGATGCATTTGGGGGGCAGCTGAAGCTGAGCCTTCACAGGGAGCCTGAGCAGCACCCTGGGACTGATGGGTCGTGCTCTGAAACATGACAGCACAATGAACAGATCCTGGATTCAAATGAATCCTGCTACCAAGGAGAGCCTCTGCTTGGAAGCAGTGATTCTGCAACCTCGTCTCAGCCCAAGACTGCCATCTCTGTTCTTGTTTTCTCCAGGTGAAAAACCCCTTATCACCCCTCTGCAGTCCCCAGCAATGTTCTCACACATGAATGCAGTTGCACAAAGAGGCTCTGAATGTGTGCAGCCCTCAGGGTTTCCTGCCCTGGAGTAGACTCTGATGTCTCAGTGTGGTCACCCTCCAGCTGGGGCAGGAGCTGGGTGGCAGCTCCCCAGACTACTGATTTCCTTTAATTATGCTTAAACCACTCAATCACAGAGAGGCTGGAGGGCTTTCCCTGGAGTGGGTGGAGGAGCCGAGGCACTGGGTGCAGTGTGCTGTGAAGGTTTCACTGAGTGCCCTATCCTGTGCCCAGTCTGCTCCTTGGGGGTGATTGCTGGATTTCCAGCAGCCTACCACCCTTGGGGAACTGGCAGGTGCTGTGACACTTACTGTGTCTCTCCCTGGAGGTTTGGATGTCACAGACGGGGGACCCCAACCCAGTACTGGGGTCTTGGGGCACCTGGTGGCCCCAGGGAGCTGGGCTGGAGGTACAGGAAGGTGCTGGCTCAGCACCCACCGCTCACCTGTGCCCAGGAGCTGGAGAACAGAGGGCAGCCCTGGCCTCACACCACAGTGCCAGGATCAGGCCTCACCCCCAGCGCACTGCCCAGACAGAGAGCCATCCCCAGTGGGTCCCCACATTTCTCCTTGCTCACATTCACAGCTACGGTGACAACTCTGAGCCGCCCCCGTCCCATTTTCCACTCACTGCTCCCCCTCATTCAAAGCCTCTGTCCTTTTAAGCTATTTTTTCCCCTCCTATTCATTTCCCGGACGCCTCAATCCTTTTCTCCTGCCTAGCCCCTCTCCTGAGCAGCTGCTATGCTAATAAGCATGAGGCAGAAAAGGGAGTGAGCCTTTGCAGGGCAGGGGAGGAGAGAGAGACCCCAGAGCCCTCCAAATGCT